TGAAGGTTTTGAGTTGCTGGAAAATTCATTTGACGACATTCGTGGGAAGCTTACAAGGTTGTTGTCATCAAGAGCTCGTGTTGAAGAAGAACCCAATGGAGAGGTCGGAACTAGTTCTTCCCAAGTCAGAATGAAGGATCCCCATCGAGTAAAAGCAAAAGGGTGTGCGAGAAGAGTGAAAGGACAAAAAGAGAAGGCAGCGGAAGGACATAAACGGCGGTGCAGTAAACGTAGGAAGACTGATCATGATAGACGGAGTTGTCCAAAACTTGTGAGCGGGTAAGTGAATATGTAATTGTCTGGCTTTGAATTTTATACAAGAAATGCTGTTGACTTGTTTCTTTGTTTCGATGTTGCAGCTCTTCATCTTCCGACGCAGAAGTTGGTGCTGCAGTTGATGAGAATTTGCAGCCTAGTCAGAGCACGCAGGACAGGGAACCTACTATGACAGAGTCATTTCTGCAAGAGTTTGATTTCCTTTACGGTTCCGGAGTTTGAATATTTGTTGATACCAATTTGCATCTTTTTGGAAACCATCTGGAACCGTTAGTGAATCTTATGTAAGTGCCTCATGTTGATACTGAACTAAGGTATGTGAAAAGCAACAGTGAAACCGCCCAAAAACAAAGTAACTTTTGTATTCGATAATTATTAAGTGTCACACATGTATCGCATGACTTACATTCGACCCCCTGGAAAAATAAAATAAAAAAAAGTAAATTAAAGTCAACAATAAGTTATTTGAAAAGCCACTTAGTTATCAACATCAGAGTCATCACTTGACTCAAAGAGGCCACGTTCCTCTCAATCTAGAATGCGTTTGTCATTGTAGCAATCCTCGCACCACTCTGGGGGTAATGCAAACAATGGGAGATGGGGGCTTTGGGGGAGAAGGGGTCGGGGACCGATAGTATTGAACATTGTCTGGACCTACCTTGAATAGATCCCTGCACGTCCCACAAGGATGGTTGTGAACGTCACCCTGCTTGCAATAATTATGCGCAACTTGAACTTTCGGATCCATCTTTGGTTGAAGGTGGATGTCCATCCTGGGGCTTTGGTGTTTTCAGAACGTGGAGCCAGTGTTTGAAAGGATTCGTTTGGGATTCATGCAATGTGGATAACGTTTTATACACCTTTGCAATGGTTGCAAGGAAAATGAAATATGTAGGTAAGGGAATCTTAAAACCATCACGGTGTGTCAGCAAGGGAATCTTGAAACCATCACTATGTGCCAGTAATGTGTCAAAGAACCGAATATCTGTGTCACATAATCTTGAAAAAATTTATCGACCCACCGACAGGCATAAACATGTAAACACAAACCCAGATCTGGCATTAACAAAAAACAAACAAGTGAATAACGATTGCCTAGCGATTGATATGGCTACCAGCCGTCATTATCGTTGGCTTTTGCTGGTTGGTGGCCTAGCTCTGGTGGGTGTACACCGCCGGAGATGATTTGCTGTGCAGCAAACGGAGTTATGGCATCCCAGTCAATATGTTTGTGGACATCTGCAATGAACCATCGGAATTGCTCAAAACCTTCGTTAAAAGCCATAGACATTGCTTGCCCATGCTTGTCGCCTCCTTTGTGGATGCTCAAAGATTCGTACGTAGCATCCTCCAGGGTCATTTGCAAATCCTCTGCTTTGAGCTTTCTTCTTTGGCCACGAATTCTGTGCCTCTCTTTTCTGTAACGCGCTTTGTTCACTTGGCGCGTCAAATACGCCAACTTCTGCTCAGCTTCGACACACTTTTGAGTCCAATAATTGACCAAGGAGGAGTCGTGTTCCAGTTTGTTCTTCATATCATTTATTTCCACAGCAGGATCATCGGAGTCGCCCTCGCTTGCCGAGGAGGTTGGAAGTGGCAGCGGTGGTAGAGGGGACCTTGGATAATCGGGGGCATATTCCCATGACCCATCGGAGTCCCCCTGATTTGCATTGCCGTCTGAACTGGTTGACATGTTGACAAATCTTCAGTTTCTTCAGATTGGGGGATTCGTTGTATGCACAAAACACAACTCCAAAGAAGAGTCATGAAGAAAACAAGATGTTGATGTACGACAATGAGTATCCCATAGCCATACGACACCGTTTATATATGATGTCCTGGAGTATTCCGCAGTTTGTTTTATCTGTTTTCCCCATCTGTCACATCAGTTTTGTTTTTTTGTTCAGTAATGAGAGTATTTGATTTAGGTTGAATTCGGATTAAAGCCTCGTATTAATCACAGATAGCATACACATGAATTTTGAATTTTCAACTTTCAATGAGGTGGTAGCATTTGTCGAATTATTATCCCGATGTTTGCAAAGGAAGGGTGAGAGAATGGTAAAAACTCATATTACCATTTTAGGAACAACAACTCCTGTGAGGGAGATCCAATCAATGCTAAAAACTATCCCATTCCTTTTAGGCATTTTCTAAAGAGAAATTACATATGTTGACAGAAAATAATGTAAACATACTTCAATTAAAGCATACCCATTTAGCTTTACAAAAGTACGCATAATAAACCAAAAGCAGTTTCCCATATTTTTCACTCGCTCTTTCTTCACGTCTTACAGCTTGGATACATACAAGATACCATATGAAGTGTCCAAAGCAAAATGGTTACACCTTCAGGAGCGCACACAAACTTGGAACAAAAGCAGCCAAAATGAACGTTTATGCATTTTTTCCAAACAAACTTACTGAAAATAACAAAAATAAACGTTGTCCAGCGACGGTTTACTCCATGGTGATTCCGTCCCAGTTGTAGCTTGGGACAACACATTTTGCATACTCTCGGAACAGGTCAAATCCTTTACGTGCTTCTGCTTCCCTCATTTGCACTGCCTCATTCGACCCCCTGAACCTTCGACAACCTTTTCCTTTCGCAAGCCTAACCCTCAGTTTCATTAGTTTGACTGATCGAAGGTGTAATTTCGCTTGACTTTTCCCCTTCCCCAATGTTTCTTCATACCATCTTAGACGTATCTTCTGACGTTTTATTTCAGTCTTCAACGCATTGTACCGCATCTGGCCGATATGGCCTGCATCATCGTGGTCGTCAGATGAAAAGTTGATGGATTTCGCAGGTCCTACAGGAACATCTTTAGCATTCTTATTCTTGTGTGGCACAATTTACAGTTTATGGGTTTAGGGTTCAGGGTTTATGCTTAATGATTAATTCATTATAGTAGATTTGCAAACACTTCATCATATTTTATAGCTATCCGGATTAGAAAATTAAAAAATATATACTTGAAAAGCCAAAACAGAACACAATTTATAAATATATACTTGAAATAGCTGGAAGATTTCCAGACGCAAAAGGTTTCTTACTTCTGCATCACTTGAACTGCCAAATTTAGAAATGATAGAACTAACAACAGTAGGAGGATCTTTTTAATGCCCTTCACTATACAGATGACTTCAGCATATGCATTAAGTTCCTTCACATCCAGCTGGTTTTCAATTTGAGATTCAGTTGGCATGTTGCCTCCAGTCACCCATTCATAGCCACTACACCTTGTAGCTCCCTAAAAAAACATAAGAAAGTTATATTTTTCATTTTCGGATTACAATGTCAGACCCAATTCTTCTACTCTGTAGAAGTTTTCATTGGCTTAGGCAATGGCCGATCTGAGTTAGTGTTATTGGCTTAGGGAAGATAATACTTACATATGTTGTGAAGCACTTCCAATACAGTCTGCCCATATTCCTTTTAGATTTGGAAATTAGCATAACCATCTCAACATTGCAGTGCCGACACCTCTTTCCTTGAGTGTTTGTTGAAGAATTCGACATGGCTTTGCCCAGAAGGGAAAATGAAGATAACAGAAGATGACAACCTTGCCAAAAATTTGCTCAAAACCCCCAATTAATTTTCCTTAAAAGCTGAAAAGGAATTGTAATTTATTTTTTGGGGAGAACTAATATGGAGTTTCAAGTTTGAATTGTCCTGTTTTGGTCGTAACAATCCGTGTCTGTGAGCAGCAAATTCAAAATTTGCAGGAATGTTTTTTTTTTTGTTAACCCTAACCCATGAGCGGGAAAGAAAAACATTGCTTTAATATTTTTTTAACCCTAAGCACTCGACAGTAAACCCTAAACCGTAGGCGGCAAACCCCTACACCCTTGAAGTCGTTTAAAAATCGAATATTTCAGTGGAAACGATCACAAAATAGTAAAACTGGCGAGTGGCGGCATGTGAATGCGCCGCGTGGCGGTCAGGCTTGCAGCTCCCCACTCCAGCGCCTCCACTTGGCATTTCTTGTATATTTTATTCAGTTTTTTTCCCAAAAATCGTTACAAATGCAGGAAAATTAAGGAAAAAATTGGAAAATTTCCTAACTGTGTGTGGGGATGAATACTTCATACGGAAAGTACAAACCCTAGTTTAGGAGCGAGTGAAAAATAAAATTTGGGAACCAACCCTACATTCGGATGATGCAAATGAAAACCCTAATACACTTTGTAAACCCCACACTCTCATATGTTTGATCACATTAATCCCGTATCCAAATTTGTTTGTCCTGCCCTTTTTCCGGATATGCCATCGAAGGAAATCTCGTCCCGATCGCTGAGGAATTTTTCGGGATTTTTTCACCGTCAATTTCGATTTTTAATAGAATATTTAAGTGGAAACGATTAAAAAATATTAAAACTGGCGTGTGGCGGCATGGGAGCGCGCCGCGTGGCGGTCAGGCTTGCAGCTCCCCATTGCAGCGCCTCCACTTGGCATTTCTTGTATATTTTATTCAGTTGTTTTCCCAAAAATCGTTACAAATGCAGGAAAATTAAGGAAAAAATTGGAAAATTTCCTAACTGTGTGTGGGGATGAATACTTCATACGGAAAGTACAAACCCTGGTTTAGGAGCGAGTGAAAAATAAAATTTGGGAACCAACCCTACATTCGGATGATGCAAATGAAAACCCTAATACACTTTGTAAACCCCACACTCTCATATGTTCGATCACATTAATCCCGTATCCAAATTTGTTTGTCTTGCCCTTTTTTCGGATATGTGGTGTGTAGATACAGCTGCACCAAAATGGATTAAGCTGCATCCTCAACTTGTGATACTCGCAAGTGCACGAACCGTTGGTTGTTTAGCGTATGTAAGTGCGAGGTCGATTCCACAGGGATTGGTGATTGAATGATCCAATTTAGTTTCCCTACACAAAACAG